TCCTCGTCAACGAGCCTCATAACTCTCTATTCTCTCAATCTCTCTCTCTCACCTTCACTCTACTCTCTCACCTTCACTCTCTCTCTCTCACCTTCACTCACTCACTCTCACCTTCACTCACTCTCTCACCTTCACTCACTCTCGCTCACCTTCGCTCTCTCTCCTCTCTCTCTCCCCTTCTCTCTCATCCTCACTCTCTCGCCAACCTTCACTCTCTCGCTCAACTTCACTCTCTCGCTCAACTTCACTCTCTCGCTCATCTTCACTCTCTCGCTCAGCTTCACTCTCTCGCTCTCACTCTCTCGCTCAACTTCACTCTCTCGCTCATCTTCACTCTCTCGCTCAGCTTCACTCTCTCGCTCTCACCTTCATTCTCTCTTGCTCTCAACTCTACTCTCTCTCGCCTTCTCTCTCACCTTCTCTCTCACCTTCTCGCTCTCTCATCTTCTCTCTCACCCTCTCGCTCACCATCTCTCTCTCGCTCACCTTCTCTCTCTCGCTCACCTTCTCTCTCTCGCTCACCTGCTGTCTCGACCTCTGAATGCTCGGCTATGAAAAGCCAACTGACATTTACTCCTGAGGTACTGACCTGTTGCACCCTCTACTACCGGCCCCAGCCCAAGGGTTAAATTAATCCATAATGTAAATTTAACCACCACTGCATAAAAGCTGCATTACTGGCTCTTGGTTTTCATCATAGGCGTCCAACATTAAATACTAATATTAGATGTAACACTAACAACATTTAATAATATATTTTTGTTGGCCTAATTCTAAACCTTTGTTTGTTACTAATACCTTATTTTTTTCATGAAGGAAGAGTTGACAAAACTATTGAGATGACACTTAATCTTTATCTGCACTTTGTCCTCTTGTTGAATACTTTAGGGCTCTTAAACTTTTTCAACTCGAGACCCAAATGAGAAATTGACTGTCCTCCCATGACCCAAATTATCCTCCAATGACCCAAAGTAAGAAGAAATAGTGTTTGATTACAGATTCTCATAACTCAGGACCCATAGTTTAAGAAACCCTGCACAGTTTAGGGTTTGGAAAATGCTTTTAGGTTGTTGTGTTGTGGAAATTATCCCACTGCTGTCACCACTGGTAATAATTCCCCTCTTGGACGCATGACTCACATCGTGATTCATGCGTCCAAAAAAATAACAACGCTGCCTGTTAAATCAAAAATAAACAAATTAGAATAACAAATCAAATTAGAATTCCAACTCTTGATAACTCCATAAGGAAATAATTGTTTCCCATAAGGTAATGGTAAAATAGACTAGAGACAGGTGTCCCTCATTCAGGGGCAGCGCACTCTCTCTGTCCTTCTCGTGGTCCGAATCACACATGGTACTATTGATAAATTATCAACTTCTTCTAATTATTAGTGTTTACATAGCCCATTTAAATCTCACCCAATGTCTCCAGTCTTTCTAGTGAGGGTGATCAGGCCTCATCAGGAAGTCAGAACAGAGGTCAGAGATCAGTCAGCCCTTTTAAGTGAGTGTTTGTTTTCCTGTACCTCAGACCTTATTTAAGAATATTTCAAATATTTCAAACATTTTGTGTATCAGGTTTACATTGGGGTTTTCAGTACATTTCTTCTAATCAAGAGAATTGACATGTGTGCACCCAAAACTCTGACAATAGAAACTTCAGAAAATGTTATTTGTGTACAGCATCCTAAAATTAAAATTAAAAGACCACACACAATAAATCAAACAGAATATTAACCACTAACAAATATTCATTAACAGGTGGGTTGTGTGTGGGTGCTGGCGTGTGTGTAGTAAAAATCGTAGGGTAAAAACAAACAAAATGGCCAGGCCTTACTTAATATGGGAGCTCCCTTAACAGCTGGATCTGGGTACCTTTACTGCTCTCCTAATGCCTTAGGAGCATTTCAAAGGGAGAGATACAGAATCATTGATAAACCATGAAAAAAACTTGGTAGCGGACATTCCATCAGTCGTATACAGAATTATAATTCAGACACATCATATGATACAATGTCCCATCAAGCTGAATAGGCACCTTCTAAAGTAAACAATCCCAGAGCCCCTCTCTTGTAATCATTGTCATTTTGACCTGTTGCATTGACATTCAATTCTGTACAAACTGTCCCAGGGACATAAACTTAGTAAAAATATAAAGCCTGTTGTTTAACAAGTCTGCTAGGACCTTCAAAAGGTTGGTGCTGGCTTAGCAGCTCAATATTCGGTACTAAAAATATTTACTTGGATCTACTTCAATTCTGGACACAGTTCCACGTAATGGAGACAGATTATTGTTTTAGATGACATTACCTTCTTACTTAAATCCCTGGTGCTACCAAAACTATAGAATTGAGTAATAAATTGTAAAAAAAAAAACGTGTCTTATTCAATTATTCATACCTCTGTCCCAAATTTCCCCACTGTCTCTCTTACAGCCTGTTTGAGTTCAGTGTGTACTGGCGGCTATCTATTGTTCCACAGCAAGCTTATCTTAAATCACAAACAACAGATGACTTAAACACGAGAGCAGTGGACCAGGCCTTGAAGAGTGAGCGGCCTCTAATTTAATATCAGTCCCAATGCTCAATCCTGTTACAGGAGGGGGTCACAGTTCCGGAGCGACCCACTAGGTGTCATCCTCCGACAACCTCAGGCACCTCCTCACTCACAGTCTGGACTAATCATCATCCTATTGGTGTCACCTGTGTCTACCTGTTCACCTGTGTATTTAAGCCCTCACTTCCCTGTGTTCCCTTGCTCAGTTTTCTCTGTTAATTTCTCTATGTCCAGCAGTACTACTCAGTGTCTGATCGGAGACCAATGTACAGGTACTTGAGAAGTGTTCTCCCTGTTTCGTTAGTTGTTTTCAATCATAGTTAGTATTTCGTATGTTTGCTGTCAGCCTGTTTTTGGAGACCAATTTGCTCCTCCTTTATTTTATCGTGATAAGTCCGCTATTTTGTATTATGGTTTTGGGACCACCAGTAAAGATCCTTGTTTCACCATCTCTGCCTACTGCCTACTGTCTATCCTGCACTGCACCTGGGTCACACCTCACACCAACCCTTTCACAATCCGTCTGTCTTACTTCTTCAAATTACTAAGATATTGCATTATTAGAATGCTATCTGAAATCCAATTACCATTCACTTTTTTACTTTCACTAGTCTCCATATCTGTTTCCTTCAACCAGGACTCCCTTCTTCCCAATAGGAAGACCTCTCAATCTACTACTACATATATAAATGCCTACAGACAGCTCTCAGCGGGGCTTTCCATGGTACAGTTATGCCCTCGCTCTAGTCTTCTCATAAAACTAGTGAATAGCCTTCTCTTTATAAGACTATGGGTACATTTTTATGCGTTACTCGCCTTGATTTAAAAAATGGACTTCCTGAAATCAGTTGCCGTCCCTTAATTGTTCATGGATGATATGTCTCCTCCTGGGCAGCTCACAGTAAGGGTCTGGGCGGGTCTCGTTGTCTTTTGGTCAGATGGGAATTTCCCTCACGCTTCATGAAATGTGCCACCGGTTTTCCTCACAGACCCACACTGGAATGCTCCGCAGGCAGAATCAATCATCCTGTTCATTGACGCCAAATTGTTGTGGAAATTCTTACACAGGACACTCGAAGTCAATATTAAATGAATCACTCTTTATTGTCAGCAAGCTGGAGAGGTCACAGTCAAACTTAGATGCATAAAGTACAGGTCTGAAGTGAGCTCTATTGGGGCAGTCCCGTTAGTTCCCTTATATACTGACAAGTTATATTTGCATGATTTAGCTTATTCATCATTCATAATTAATGTTTGCTTCATTCATGTGACGACCAACACTGGGTCATGCATGTGACAGACCAATACCACACAAGGCTTCTTCTCTCTAAGCTGAGACCTTGAAACTGAGACATCCCTTTCTCTAAACAAGGTTCTGAGCATACTGCCAAATTGCAGATACTGATAATGAGGATAAGTTCAATCAGTCACTTGCATGAACACAGAAATTGGTTTATAGAAAAGCACAAACAGAACACAGAAATTGGTTATTAGAAAAGCACAAACATAATTTGTTTCCCATCACAGTTGTTTCTAACTGAGCATCAGGGGTCTGGTGTTTACCATAATATGATTGGGGTCTGAGGTAGAGGAGGGGCCAGTGAGGGTATGCATCACTATATTATTCTCCTTATAAGGTGCTTCTCGGAATAGGGGGCTGTGATCAGTGCAAAGACAAGAAATACTAAGGGGTGAATAACATCATGACAAAGGCTATTTTGGTTTAACTCTATGTTTGTCTCTAGAAGTGATCAGTATAATGCAATTGTCCACTGCTGGGTACTTTGCCCCTCAGGGTCACTCTATAAAAAAATAACCAAATCACTAAAACACACAACAGAGATCTAGGTTAAGAGTGGCCAAAAGAGGCAACTACTCCTGTGTTTTTACTACTAACTCCTCTCTAACCACACCCTGTACCACTGAGCTGTGTGGCCTAACTGAGTTGGAGAGAGCTACAGTGACCCTGAGGTACAACTCACAAACACTAAAGAGATATTTACTGATTTACATTTCAATACATTTGATTTAACTACACATAAAATATAGAAGGATTTAAACTTAAATATGTATTCAAAGATATGGCCAAACCTCTTCCATCCTCCTCCACTTTGTCATCTTGTAGCAGCATACACTACATCGGGGTCCAGCTCCTTCTCTCTTCTCCATCTTCCTCTTCTTGGATGTGAAATTCAGGGCGGCATAATTCAATTCATCTGGATCTTGGTTCTGTAGATTTGCAAACACCATGACATAACCAACATATGTTATTTTCACGATTTCAGAATTGCTCATATTTCAGTATTTAATGAACATTTTGTGGTTGTCTTTGAGAACCAGGTCTTGAATATGATATTAAAGAGAGACGAGAGGCTCGTCAGTGTACAGTGTACAGTATGTCAAGGGAAAAACATCCACATTTTAAGTGTAGTTCACAAGTCATGAAAACCTGTGTGTTTTTGCCTCTCGTGTGATGTTGAGGACCAGGATGAGGATGACTATCAGTAGAACATCAGTCACAACACCCAGGATCACAACCAGGTGAAGGAGGTACATGATTCCATCATCATCCTCTCCTACAATAGCGATAGTTCCATTACACTAACACCCATTACAACCAGTGGGAAGAGGTTAATTGATCTATCATCCTCTCTTATCAAAAAACGTCATTTAGAATCAGAAGTATAAAAACTATACCTCATTAATCTAACAATTATTAGCTCATATCGAAGATATAGGTTAAAATGTATGTTTTAAATTATTTTCACCATATAATACCAGACTAAGCATACCTTCACGATATTGCTCTGGCTCTTTGTCAGAATCCTTGTAACCTTTTGGCTGAATAGGACAGTTTAATTTTCCTACTACATAAAAATTGATTGAAAGTTAACTTGTTTCCAACTCTTTTATGTGCATGCCTGTAGCACAAACATTCATAGCGTCCAGAAGTCACAGCTGAGAAATGATTGAAAAGATTACCTTGAACCATAAGGAAAATCATGTTGGTGAAAATGAAGTATTTATCGTACACAGAAGTACAGACCAGAATCAGCTACATCCACCTCTGTGATTTTGAGGAAGATTATTCTATTGCTGATTTAACATTTCCATATGGCTGGACTGAAAACCATTGTGATGATTGACATACGGCTGAGAGGTGTACATAGACGCGATGCACAGAGGCTCTGAGACGTTGACTTGTTTGAACTTTAAGGACATTAGTGCACTGCAGGGTGATATTATCCCCAGGATGGACCACCACTGAGGGTAGCAGAGAGATCAACATGACAGGGGTCAAACCTGAAAGAGAGAAAACAGATTTAGAAACAAAACGTTCTGTTTAATTCTTATGGAATGTACATCTGGTGTGATTTAATAAAAGCTATTGTTCACACACAACATATTTTGCACACTCACACATATACTACACACACACCTAGACACAATCACAACTATTTGACAGACCAAATATATTAAAATCTGAACTGAAGATAAAGGACCAGAGCTGGTACATGTATGTGTGCCATTCTGTGTGTAGATCTACACTGCCAGACCATTAAGGAAGGACTGAATATTCAAATAAGAGAGATGAAAGTAACTTGTGATTATGGGCGGGACATAGTGTGACAACCATATAGCTGCATACACCACAGATTAATAACAAGCCACTGGTTTTCCACTCTTGCATTCCACAATGTTAACATATTTTAGTTGTAGACTGTTGTTTATCATGATCATAGAGGTTCCCAGAATATAACATTTTAAATACTCAGCATGTATCAAATGTATTGCAATAGACCAGTTGGTTAAACATATTTTGTCAATTTTCAAGTTGCAAAAAAAGTCTGGATATTTCAAACCTGAATTTGTTTTCTCAATGATGATGCCCAGCATGGTTAGATCTAATAATTCTATTGGTCAGGAGACCCCCTGGAGTGGGTAAGAATTGGCTGGAATTGGTGGTGGTTGGCCAATAGGGGGCACTCTTCTGACTGCACCAAATAGATCACTAAACTTAGGAACTCTTACAGTTCGCAGAAGCCAGGAATGGACTGGCCATCTGGTATTAAGGGAAAATGCCAGATGGAGTTGTCCATCTTTAGCCCCACTGGGCCTGTCTAACTTGGGGTTTTGCACAAAATTATTATTATCTGGCTAATAATGAAATTCATGAAATTTACAACTTACTACATCAGAAAACATTCATATTCTGGCCATCTCAGAAACACACTTAGATAATTCCTTTGATGATGCAGTATTAGCTATACATGGTTATATAATATACAGTGAGGGAAAAAAGTATTTGATCCCCTGTTGATTTTGTACGTTTGCCCACTGACAAAGAAATGATCAGTCTAGAATTTTAATAGTAGGTTTATTTGAACAGTGAGAGACAGAATAACAACCAAAAAATCCAGAAAAACGCATGTCGAAAATGTTATAAATTGCTTTGCATTTTAATGAGGGAAATAAGTACGGTATTTGACCCCTCTGCAAAACATGACTTAGTACTTGGTGGCAAAACCCTTGTTGGCAATCACAGAGGTCAGACGTTTCTTGTAGTTGGCCACCAGGTTTGCACACATCTCAGGAGGGATTTTGTCCCACCTCTTTGCAGATCTTCTCCAAGTTTTTAAGGTTTCGAGCCTGACGTTTGGCAACTCGAACCTTCAACTCCCTCCACAGATTTTCTAAGTGATTAAGGTCTGGAGACTGGCAAGGCCACTCAAGGACCTTAATATGCTTCTTCTTGAGCCACTCCTTTGTTGCCTTGGCCGTGTGTTTTGGGTCATTGTCATGCTGGAATACCCATCCACGACCCATTTTCAATGCCCTGGCTGAGGGAAGGAGGTTCTCACCCAAGATTTGACGATACATGGCCCCGTCCATTGTCCCTTTGTTGTTATTCTGTCTGTCGCTGTTCAAATAAACCTACCATTAAAATTATAGACGGATCATTTCTTTGTCAGTGGGCAAACATACAAAATCAGCAGGGGATCAAATACTTTTTTCCCTCACTGTACAGGAAATATAGGAATGCAAATTGGGAAGTGTTGCTACAGTTGAAGTCGGAAGTTTACATACACTTAGGTTGGAGTCATTAAAAGTCATTTTTCAACAACTCCACAAATTTCTTGTTAACAAACTATAGTTTTGGCAAGTTGGTTAGGACATTTTTCCAACAATTGTTTACATACAGATTATTTCACTTATAATTCACTGTATCACAATTCCAGTGGGTCAGAAGTTTACATATACTAAGTTGACTGTGCCTTTAAACAGCTTGGAAAATTCCAGAAAATTATGTCATGGCTTTAGAAGCTTCTGATAGGCTAATTGACATAATTTGAGTCAATTGGAGGTGTACCTGTGGATGTATTTCAAGGCCTACCGTCAAACTCAGTGCCTCTTTGCTTGACATCATGAGAAAATCAAAAGAAATCAGCCAAGACCTCAGAAAGAAAATTGTAGACCTCAACAAGTCTGATTCATCCTTGGGAGCAATTTCCAAACGCCTAAAGCTACCACGTTCATCTGTACAAACAGCCGTCATACCGCTCAGGAAGGAGACGCGTTCTGTCTCCTAGAGATGAACGTACTTTGGTGCGAAAAGTGTAAATCAATCCCAGAACAACAGCAAAGGACCTTGTGAAGATGCTGGAGGAAACAGGTACAAAAGTATCTATATCCACAGTAAAACGAGTTCTATATCAACATAACCTGAAAGGCCGCTCAGCAAGGAAGAGGCCACTGCTCCAAAACCGCCATAATAAAGCCAGACTATGATTTTCAACTGCACATGGGGACAAATATCGTACTTTTTGGAGAAATGTCCTCTGTTCTGATGAAACAAAAATAGAACTGTTTGGCCATAATGACCATCGTTATATTTGGAGGAAAAAGGGGGTTGCTTGCAAGCTGAAGAACACTATCCCATCCGTGAAGCACAGGGGTGGCAGCATCATGCTGTGGGGGTGCTTTGCTGCAGGAGGAACTGGTGCACTTCACAAAATAGATGGCATCATGAGGAAGGAAAATTATGTGGATATATTGAAGCAACATCTCAAGACATCAGTCAGGAAGTTAAAGCTTGGTCGCAAATGGGTATTCCAAATGGACAATGACCCCAAGCATACTTCCAAAGTTGTGGCAAAATGGCTTAAGGACAACAAAGTCAAGGTATTGGAGTGGCCATCACAAAGCCCTGACCTCAATCCTATAGAAAATATGTGGGCAGAACTGAAAGATTGTGTGCAAGCAAGGATGCCTACAAACCTGACTCATTTACACCAGCTCTGTCAGGAAGAATTGGCCAAAATTCACCCAACTTATTGTGGGAAGCTTGTGGAAGGCTACCCGAGATGTTTGACCCAAGTTAAAGGCAATGCTACCAAATACTAATTTTAAATTGACATTTTAGTCATTTAGCAGACGCTCTTAACCAGAGCAACTTACAGGAGCAATTAGTGTTAAGTGCCTTGCTTAAGGGCACATCGACAGGTTTTTCACCTAGTTGGCTCGGGGATTTGAACCAGCGACCTTTCGGTTACTGGCACAACACTCTTACCCACTAAGCTACCTGCCGTAATTGAGTGTATGGAAACTTCTGACCCACTGGGAATGTGATGAAAGAAATAAAAGCTGAAATAAATCATTCTCTCTACTATTATTCTGACATTTCACATTCTTAAAATAAACTGGTGATCCTAAGTGTACACTTCTGACTTCAACTGTATATACACTACCAGTCAAAAGTTTTAGAACACCTACTCATTCAAAGGTTTTTCTTTATTTTTTACTATTTTCTACATTGTAGAATAATAGTGAAGACATCAAAACTATAAATAACACATATGGAATCATGTAGTTACCAAAAAAGTGTTAAACTAATTAAAATATATTTCTTCAAATAGCCACCCTTTGCCTTGATGACAGCTTTGCACACTCTTGGCATTCTCTCAACCAGTTCATGAGGTAATCACTTTGAATGAATTTCAATTAACAGGCGTTTCTTCTTAAAAGTTAATTTGTGGAATTTGTTTCCTTCTTAATGCGTTTGAGCCAATCAGTTGTGTTGTGACAAAGTAGGGGGGTATACAGAAGATAGCCCTAGTTAGTAAAATACCAAGTCCATATTATGGCAAGAACAGCTCAAATAAGCAAAATAAAATAACAGTCCATCATTACTTTAAGACATGAAGGTCAGTCAATACGGAACATTTCAAGAACTTTGAAAGTTTCTTCAAGTGAAGTCACAAAAACCATCAAGCGCTATGATTAAACTGGCTCTCATGAGGACTGCCACAGAGTTACCTCTGCTGCGGAGGATAAGTTCATTAGAGTTAACTGCACCTCAGATTGCAGCCCAAATAAATGCTTCACAGAGTTCAAGTAACAGACACATCTCAACATCAACAATTCAGAGGAGACTGCGTGAATCAGGCCTTCATGGTCTAATTGCTGCAAAGAAACCACTACTAAAGGACTCCAATAATAAGAAGATACTTGCTTGGGCCAAGAAACACAAGCAATGGACATTAGACCAGTGGAAATCTGTCCTAATTTGAGATTTTTGGTTCCAATCGCCGTGTCTTTGTGAGAAGCAGAGCAGGTGAACGGATGATCTCCACATGTGTAGTTCCCACCGTGAAGCATGGAGGAGGAGGTGTATTGGTGTGGGGGTGCTTTGCTGGTGTCACTGTCTGTGATTTATTTAGAATTCAAGGCACACTTAACCAGCATGGCTACCACAGCATTCTGCAGCATTACGCCATCCCATCTGGTTTGCGCTTACTGGGACTATTATTTGTTTTTTCAACAGGACAATGACCCAACACACCTCCAGGCTGTGTAAGGGCTATTTGACCAAGAAGGAGAGTGATATAGTGCTGCATCAGATGACCTGGCCTCCACAATCACCGACCTCAACCCAATTGAGATGGTTTGGGATGAGTTGGACCGCAGAGTGAAGGAAAAGCAGCCAACAAGGGCTCAGCATATGTGGGAACTCCTTCAAGACTGTTGGAAAATCATTCCAGGTGAAGCTGGTTGAGAGAATGCCAAGAGTGTGCAAAGCTGTAATCATATGTGTTATTTCATAGTTTTGATGTATTCACTATTCTTTTACAATGTCGAAAATAGTAAAAATTAAGAAAAACCCTTGAATGAGTAGATGTGTCCAAACTTTTGACTGGTAGTGTATGTTTTGTGTATTATTGTTTAGCATTCATATGACACTCTCCATTTTAATAAAAAAAAAATCTATATAAAGATTAAACAAAGTGTGATGTTTTGGTCTC